TTAAGAATTCCTCATATCAGTGAGATCATATGATACATGTCTTTCTCTGATTGACTTATTTCACTTAGCATAATACCCTCCAGTTCCATCCACGTTGTTGCAAATGGCAAGATTTCATTTTTTTTTTTGATGGCTGCATAATATTCCATTGTGTATATATACCACATCTTCTTTATCTATTCATCTGTTGAAGGACATCTTGGCTCTTTCCATAGTTTGGCTATTGTGGACATTGCTGCTATAAACATTGGGGTGCATGTACCCCTTTGGATTACTAAATTTGTATCTTTGGGGTAAATACCCAGTAGTGCATCAATTGGCCTATTTTCAAGTTCACGGATTCTTTCCTCTGCTATTTCAAATCTATTGATGAACATCTCTAATTATTTTTTCATCCAGTTATTATACTCTTCATCTCCAGAATATCCGCTTGGTTCTTTTTTATAATTCCTATTTCTTTATTGATAATCTTAATTTGTTGAGACATTAGTCTCCTGGTTTTAACTGTTTGTCCATGGTTTCCTTTATCTCTTTGAGTATATTTAAGATAGCTGATTTAGTTATTGTCCAGTAAGTCCAACATTTAATCTTTCTCAGGGCCATTTTTAAAAATTTCTTTCTTTTTTTCCCCTTTTTAGTGAGACAAACTTTCTCTTTTCTCTTTGCCTGCTTTATGATTTTTTGTAGAAAACTGGACATTTTAAATAGTTTAATGTGAAATAGAAATAAGATTACCTTCCCTCTGTTGGGTTTGTTGTAGGTTGTTCTTTGTTTAGTAGTTCTTCTAAACACATTTGAGTAATGTATGTATTCTTTGTCATGTGTGGGTACTGAACTAAGTGTTTTATTAGCTTACTGGTAAACTTATGTTTTCTCCAAGTTATCTTAAATACCTAGAGTCAAAAAAAAAAAAAAGAAAGAAAGGAAGGAAGGATGGAAGGAAGGAAGGAAGGATGGAAGGAAGGAAGGAAGGAAGGAAAGGAAAAGAAGGGAAAAAGAAAAGGACAAGGAAAAGGAATAAAAAATACTCGTCTTAGCAGATGGGCTCTCTGTTGAAGTATTCCTTCAATGCTTACCCAGGCTGTTTACAGCTCTGCTTCTACTTTTAACTGTTGCCTGCACAGATCCTAAAGGTCAGCCAGAGATGAAAGATCAGGGTCTTCTTGGGTTTTCCCTGAGCATGTGCCTAGCTCTGGTCATACGTGTGCACTTCTTGATTCTGCAGTATATATAACAGTTTTGAAAAATTCTATTTCCCCCATGTATGTCTTCTTTCCCAGGCATTTTGGTTTGTCTAATGTTTGTCCCAACTGTTATTCACAGCTTCAGACAGTGGTGGCAAGTATATGCCTTCAAATGCTTTCAGTAAACACTGCCTCTAAGTGGTTCCAGCTGAGTGATTGCTTCAAGTCAGGCAAAACAAAGACAAGCCTTTGTGCTGGTTCTTCAAGAAGTCATCAGACAGGTCAAAACACTGAAACACAATTCTTTGAGAATAAGGTCCATATTGTTTTCTCTGGCACTAGCCATCTGTAGCACAGGTACAGGCTGCTCTCTTCCCGGCCACCACTGATTTGGGGGCTAGAGAATGGCAAGGGGGCAATTTATAGTGCCACAGTGCTCTCCTAATGCAATACAACAGACTCTTCATTAACTTTCCCCCTAGTTGTTGTCTTTTACTAAACTCAGAGTTCTACAAAAGCTGATTCTGACAAATTTTTGCCAACATTTTTTTGTGGTGGGACAGAGCCCCAGAGATCTCTATTCTGCCATTTTCAGTGATGTCCTAATTCTTACCTTTTCAAAAAAATGCATTTTAATAACAAGTATGAAAAATTCTGCTTTGAATTTCTTATTTCTTATTTCTTTTGAAATAAAACTCATCTACAGCACCTTAATCATTAAAATTTGAACTTAAAAACAACTTAAAAAGAATGAAAGGTGCTTACCATTCCTCAAGAGAAGTTTCAAACTGTCAAAATAAAAGATCTCAATAAAAATCAAATTTTAAATATCTCAAAAAATAACAGCAGACTAGCTTACATTTGAACTCACTGATAAAACTATAAGTACTCCACTTCACAGACCCCATTATATTTTTGTCAAACTATACTCTGTTATTTCTAAAACAGATACACACTTCTACTACCTAGTCCTTTTATTACTCCCACCTAATTGTTCTTACCTTTCATCTGTGTTTCTAAATCTTACTCCTTCATTAAGGGCCTGTTCAATGCCACTTACTCCCAAAAGACTTTCCATATAATCAGAAGTGCATTATATCTATTAAATTTTAATATATAACCAAAGAGTGGAAAACACTCTGGTAAGTTCACAGATATTTAACTTTCCATAGTGTCCCTCTTTTAGACCATAAACTCCACAGCAGGAGTCATGTTCTACAGAATATTCTAAGAGTATCCTGGGCTATAAGAGACACAAGTTACCAAAAACACAAGGGATACATAGTCATAATTTTATGGGTTTCATAGATAATGTCTAATTCCAGATGTTAGTTGGGCATACATGATTACTTCTCTTCAATTCCCACGTCATCCAATATTTCTGGAGAAAGGTATATATGTATGCCAATAAAATCACTGTGACATATATTTTAGAAAAATTCCCAGATATAGAAAGAAAATAGATGAAACTGTCACTTAAAATAGAGCAAAGAAAAATATAACTCAGAAGAAAAAATGAAGACCATTTCAGGGCAGGTAAAAGGCTTCTCTGTGGAGCTCATGAAAAATTCCTAGTATGTAAGAATAAGTAGGTGATAATCAAAGTAAATAACTGATGGCCTGCCTGTGGTGAGGTAGACTAGTATTATTGCTTTCCACTCTTAGAATCCAGAATACATGGCCGAGAAGATGCCTTCATGTCATTGCCATGAGAAGAACTCTCTAGCCACACTGGAGATCTGACTAGGATGGAGAGGCTAAGAATGGAAGTTGTGGTTCTAGAGAGAAACAAAACAGAGCCTACGTAACTAGCAGAATCTCACATAGAAACAAGTGGATAAAGGAAAAACAAAGGCTAATGCATCAACGCATGAAAATACTTGAAGGTGCTGCAACAAACTCAAATGTATGCTTATTTAAGTAAAAACACATTCCCTCAACTTCCTTTCCTAAACATATTACCTCCTATTTACAAAGAATTCCAGTACAATTTTTTATTTACTGGATAAAAGCCTTTAATGTAAGAAGGCTCTGACAGCTGCTAAAAAGCAAACAAATAATGGCAACAACAAAAACAACAAAACCAGCAAAAAACACGCTCACAACCAGTTATCGGTCTGGTCCATCATTTATAAATACAAAAAATAAAAAAGTATACAAATATTTGAGGAAAGATTAGAGTATTAAAAAAAACAAGAAAATTTACTTAAGATATAACATATACTGGAATGGATAAAAGTGATATAATAACAAATTCAAGGCATATATATATTTCTCCATAATATTAAAAAAATCAAAAGATGAAATTTAGTATAAGAATATTGTTATCCAAATATGAAAAAGACTGAAATAGTAACCATTTCATTATATATATATGATATATATGAGATCTATATATATGAGAATTTAGTTCATTGTAAAATTTACATTACAAATATATATGAGATATACATGAGATATATATATATATGAGATATATATATGAGAATTTAGTTTATTGTAAAATTTACAATATATATATGTATGACATATATATGAGAATTTAGTTTTTTGTAAAATTTACATTACAAATCAAGGGAGATGGACAAGTCAATGAATGATATAAGGATAGTTTAAACAATTATTTAGAAGAGATAAAGTACGTGCCTCATGCCATAAAGTAGTAAACTTCAGATTTGAAAAAGCCAAAGTGTAAAAAAGGAAGTACTGAAAATAGTAAAATATTTTAATAATCTTGATATGAGGAAAATTTTGTTAGATGAAAAAAAATTTGTCAGATAACAGATTGATTTTACATACAAATTTCTCTATGAAAGAATACTATAAATTAAAAATTAGTACAAGCAGAAAAAAAATTTTGTAACAAAAGAGATAAAGAGATAAAAGAGATAAAAAATACTTCTACACATATATAAAAATTAACAAACACAAGAAAAATATTGGGAAAACTATATGAACAGTAATTAGCAGAAAATTAAAGCAAATGGGCAGAAAGCATAGGATGCTTTATTTATGTGTGCCAACTGATCTATATGTATTTATCCATATCTATGTATATGCACATACACTTATATACACACAGATGTATGTTAAATGAAAACAATATATATATTAATATATAAAAGAACCAATAATTTAACATTAAATTTTCATCAATTTGCCCATCGCCCTCATTACCTCATACTTAGACCGCCCTTCTAAACTAGTTTCATTATTTGCTACACTGCTGAACTTTTCTTATGCTAACAGTATAATAGATTTAATGGAATCTAAAAAACTCTGAGGAGACTAAATTCATCTACATAATAAAAAAACTGATGAATGCAGTTGTTTGAAATCCTATTACATTTTACATGTAATATTACAAGCTTATTCTAAAATGTATATGTACCAAGAATAATCAAAGTATAAAAAGGGAAAAAAAGAGGGAACCACCACACCAGATAGTAAAACATATTATGAAGCATGTTTAGTAAAATAAGGTATTGTAATAGGTAAAATTAACCAGTAGAATGATGGAGTCAGGAATAGATACAATCATATATGAAAACGTGATATAGGATAGATACTGTACAGCTGATTTCTAAGAAATGACTGGATTTTGCAACAAAATTAATGCTGAGAAAAGTAATTTTTCATATTTTTATGAATGAAAATAACTACCTATTCCATTCTTTGTGTCTACACACAAAAATAACAATTTCACGTTGTTCAACAAATAAATCTAAAGCAAAAAACTTTATAATTTTAGAAGATATATAAGAAAATTTTTTTAGGACTCTGCAGTAAGAGTTGTTAAACATGATGCAAAACACTTCAAATAAAGGGAAAATGATAAATGTAAGTATATTAAAATTAAAAACTTATTTTAACTAAGAGATATCATAAAGTAAAAAGACAAATCAAACTGAGAGGGTAACAAACTAAAGGTAGTAATTTGTTCCTACAGGCCAATAAGAAAATCCAAATAAACCCAAAAGAAAATGGACAAAAGATAAACAGGCAGAGAAGAGAATGAGCATTCAATGAGTATATTATTAGATCCTAACCTAATTAATAATTAGGAAAATATTATCCCTTGGTTTTGGAAACTGGTAACACACTCCTGCATACTACAGAAACTTACCATCGGGCTGATTTATTTAACAGTTCTAAGAAGCCATGCGAAGTTGAAGTATCACAAGAATTATCTGATTGGGTTTAATCTCATAACCCAAAAGCCATGGTCATATTATTTTTTTTCTTTAACATCATTTACTTTCCTTTAATTAATTTTTATGTTCTCTTAAAGAGTATTGTTTTATTAAAATAGTCTTCATTTTACAACAGTTTAAGACTTACAGAAAAGTTGGAAAGATAATATAGAGATTTCATACATATTCTGGACCACATTTTCCCTATTTTAACATCTTACATTAGGATAGTACATTTGTTACAATTAATTAAGCAGTATTGATACATTATTACTAACTGAAGTTCTTTGTTCCAATTTTCTTAATTTTTTTAATTGAGATAAAATTCATGTTTAGAACACGAGGCCTATTTGAGAGATACTGTAGAATTACAATGGCATTTTGAAGATAAAGCTTATCAACTAAAACATTTTGAGGAACAAAAGGCAAAATTGGAAGAAGCTAATGCAAAGCTTCAAGCAGACATAGACTACATGAATATATGATTTGCAAACATTTTCTCCCATTATGTAGGTTGTGTTTCACTTTCTTGATAATGTCCCTTGATGTACAAAATACATGTTTTTAATATTGACGAAGTTCAGTTTATCCTTTTTTTCTTTTGTTACTTATGCTTTTGGTGTCATATCTACGAATTCATAGCAAAATCCCAGGTCATGAAGATTTACCTCTGTGTTTTCTTCTATGAGTTTTATGGGTTTAGCACTTACATTTAAGTCTTTGATATATTTTGTACAAAGGAGACATGTATATTCTTGGGGTCAAAGGTAGCAGACTATCAGGTCAAAAGAAGCTGAAACCAGAGAACTTCATCTGCATCAGATCTGCTGCAGAACATATAATCATGGACCTCTGCATGATACCATAATAGAATAAAACTTTTGGGGAGTTGGTGATTATAGTCTGCAATTGGATGGGTTGTTAATCATGCTGTCAATGGACAAACTGATCTAATACTCTACCACATTAAAAGAGGGATTGATTATCTGCTTTGCTTTGGCCAGTAAGACTTGAGCAAACATAAAACAAGCAAATATTTTAAGCTCTTGCCCATTGAGATTTGTCCTCCTAGAACATTGTCCTAGACATGGGTGTGAGGCCATCTTAATCACCATTTCCAGTTAAGTTAGCAGATGTGTACATCCATATGATTGGCCACAGGCAAGAACTCACAAATTTGCCCATCTGAGCTCAGAACAAATTGCTCAATGGTAATCAAATAAATGCTTGTTCTAGCCACAAAGTTTTAGAGGGAGACAGAGAGACAGAGAGAGAAAGAGTATGTGTATGTATGCCTATACCAAAAGATAGAAAAAACAATGCTTTATTTTTCTGAAGATATTTTCTTTAGAGTAATAGGGACCAAATCCAGATTGTAATGAAAAAATGAGCAATTGGGAGGTGAGGAAACAAATACTAAATTTAGGTAATCCTTTTCAGATGTTAAGTAAAACAGGAAGAAAGAGGAAAAAGGGATATATTTAAAGATATGTGTGGGATTAAAAAAAATTTCTTGAAAACAAGAGAAACATCAAGAGTTTAAATGTTGACAGAAGTGAGTTAAGAAAAAAAAAGGAAATTTGGAAGATAGATAT